TTTAAATTGCGGATAATCATGCAGCCTACGTGAATATTTATATCTAAAATGAAGGCCTAGTTCGTGCGTCTCGTGATTCCATATGATTCCTTGTATGGATGTTCTAACGCCTGACGAGCAAACACGTGTGGAAATTTCAAACATGGACTATCAAAATGTCTTTAAACTGTGGCCAGATGAGGGCACGCTTAACCAAATGCGTAGTGCTTGTCAGTATGCTAACGTGCGAGGCGTTACCTTTAGCTGCGGAAATCTCAGTCGATGATAAAAATCACTGTGTGGTCCCATTGCTGTTCTCCAATATATAGATGTATACGTTCCGTGGAATCAGGAGGGCTGTGTTTGGTGATTGAGTCCAATGTACGATGTTTGTGGCTGGAAATCCAAGACTTAATTGTTCCTGGAGCCGTTTTACAACGCCGTTTACCCGAGAATGATAGACTGTTTTCTGAAACCCTTGCTGGATAGGAATTCAGTGAATAATAAATGTATGCAGCTTTCTAATTGACACTGGCGGTCCGTTGTTAGAGAGGATGAGTGACCGAAATTAGCTATCCGCCTTTCCCCGAAGCTTGAAAAAAATGACTCAGGGTTACCCCTTCAGGCAGTCTAGTATGATGGTTGACACAAGTCAACTTATGGGTAAATCCGTAAGACTGTGACAAGTCCAAACAGATCTGAATGGACTTGGTAGAAGCAGCTACCTGTCGTAAGGAAAGCATCTAGGGGGCTCTTCACCTTTCAGTCTCTATTCACGTTAGATCACAGTGTATTAATTCCTTATCTATGCCAGGCAGCAAAATCCATTTAATAAGTGATGATAGTTTGGATACCTGGGTAAGACGAACGGAATACCATACTGTAGACTTTACTGGTTGCTTTTGGGCACAAGAGAACGAGAAAAATTTGTGAAAACATCACGAGCAAAAGTACACTAACTAATGCCTAACGGCATCTCTTGCAATACCAGGGTTATATGTAAAATACAAACGCCGAGCTAGAGTTATTTGTTCAAATGAAACAAGGAGCGAAGAACTCCGTAATATCTGTGACCCAATAATTAGAGATAGATACCAGACTAAACTCTTGAACAAACATATAAACTCAGAAAGTATGACGTCTAAGGTGACCAATGTTCCCGTAATAACGGTCTTCCTAAGATTATAATACACGGGTGATGTCAATAGCGAGATCTTATCACAACGTCTGAGAAGGGCCTTCAAAAGGAATTTCAACGCAGCTAAGCTATGTTGTGTAATCGCTAGGCAACTAAAACCCAGTTCAAGAAATAAAGAAAGACTGCCCCGTTTCACCTCTTCCATGTGTATTTACCGGTTTAATTGCCCGTGTGGAGCTATTAACATAAGGTATAGGATCAGACAAGTCCATCGTCGAGTTTCTGAACATCTCCCATCTTGACAAAGGGGTGAATAAATCCACTGTACGTAGCTCAATACTAGCTCGTCTTGTTGATACTGACTGAACGCCAAGTCGACTCTGACAAATCCTTTAAAGTTATTTATCGCATATCACCCACCCTGTCGTCACATGGTTTACGAGTACGACTTTTATATACATACGGCAGAGGTAATGGGAATACATCTGAACAAGCCAAATCTGTGTGTTCAAAAGAAGTTTGTGCGACCCACTTCTTTGCCGTGGCCAACTACATAATATGTATTAAGTTTTCCAAAACGACATTTTCCCCTTCCTTTGTAACTATCGTTTGACTTTCTTATTTTATACAATTCCGGCTAACTCTATTAACCTGTTTGTATTTTCGTAAGTCTAATGGGTCATGCTACTCTTCTTAGTCATCATTATTTCAAAAAATTCGTGCTTGTATAGTAACTTGTTGTTAACGCTAGAGAATCCACCTATCTTGATTTCCATACTTACATTCACCCCTCCCTCAAAACGTAATTATCATGTTACTAGTTAATTGTTTTGGTGACTTCCAACGACTTATTTTCTCCCCTCTTTTATCCTAAGACTAACCATTCTTGATGACTGAAACAATCACATGGCTGGCACAATTTTAAAGTAATAAACTATATATTAGTGTAGAGCGGGTGACGAGAAGCTAATTGAAAAGGGATATATATTCACTCGATTTGTTGTTTTTCTGGACTTGCTAACGGTGATTCGGTAATTCCGGAGTAGTTTCCGCCAACTCATGTTGGAGCACATTGTCTTCCTTCTCACAGCCTATGACGTAGATTTGAATATAGGAGTAGGTCACAACACAGGACCTGTGGCATTGTTATTGGCCCCAGGAACGTGAGGAACACCTGGGACAAAATGCAAAATGTGGGTGGGTTGTTGATTTTATGACTGCCAGAAACATCACTATCGGTAAACTAACTAACGTTTAACAAGACAATTTTATCACCCTTCACACCTATCACCAGCAACGCGACCTTCAATTAAGACGTGAATTTTGATTCAGTGCATTCGATGACGACAATTAGTACTACACTGCGTGTGTAAAGTGACCTAGTAGATATTATTCCACTACTTTGTTTCACATGTTTCTTGTGTAATTAAATAATTGTAAATATGCTTACTCCACGTACATATGAATTATCATACTGAGGATTCCTGTAAACTGGCGTCCCTCATGTACAAAAACCGAGAAAGTGGTGTACTTTGTTTCCATTCCGTGTTATTTTCTAGGAAAAGCAAGTGGCTGCCACCGATTGTTAACTAGTTTCTGCAGAACTGCTCCAACAGAGGTGTCGAATGCCTCAAATGAGTTGCATAAATGTGCCTCCGGTGGCGCCAGCTGTGGTTCTTTTAACTTCAAAGATGTGTTGAAATTTACGAACTTGATATTACCGCTGAGGCCGGTTAGCGGTTGTGCAAAAGCGTGACAGTTGGAAGTGAGTCTCAGGGAACTGCTTGCCAGGCCATGAAAGCTGCGGAAACTTTTCGTAGTTTTCCGCTCTGGAAAATTTGAAATCACCTCCACCCTATTAGTTGGTGATTGGGTGAACTTGTAGTCCGTGGTACAGTGGTTAGGACTCTCACCGACCATGCACATGGTCCGGGGTTCGATCCTCCGCCGACGCACCCTAGATATCTATGGTCGGCCTGCGAAATTTGGGCTACCGATATCCACGCTAAAAATTACATACCTGCACTGAAAATACGGTGTGGTATCAAGCTGTAATCAAAAATAAATAATAAATAAAAAATATCTAAGCCAGGCGGTTTTTCCTTATCGACACTTGTGAATAGTTTTTAGAAATGCCGTCCTAACCTAACCTGCTGAAGGCGAAATCTAAAATTTAGAGGTGCGTTTTTCTCCCTGGACTTCCTACGAGGCAGTCATTAAAGTATGCGGCAGAGAAATCCAACTCGACTGAACCTCAGACGTTTGTCCTTCAGCGACTAATTTGTTTGTTTATGCTGATTGAATCACATCGCACAAAGTGGATTTTGAGGGTTAAGAACCCAGTTGCTGGGCTGATGCATGATTGTGTCCCTATATTCTCTTGATACTCTCGCTAATAAATACAGCCTTGAATGATAGTAATTGTTATATTATCCCCTCACTAGCTTGGGCCGGTGTTAAGAGCAACATGGTCACATTAAAGAGTTGGCAGGTAGTGAGGTCGAAGCTGAAGTCCGGTCGGAGAGATGGCCACACAGTAGTTGGAGGGAACCAGAAGCGAGCTCGAAGTCGTACAGAAAGTGCAACTGACCGGCTTCCTTGACATACATGCCGCAGAAAGCTTCGGCAATAATGCGTTGAAATCCTTGTGCTGAATTCTGTAAACTGGATAACAGGTGTTGTCGTTTCTGGGTTGTCTTCCGGAACCATCAGTGTTGCACTGTACAACCTAACCGCCAGGACTTTTGCAAAGAAAGTGTTACCTTCAATTCTTAGGTATTTGAAAGTAGATTCCAATCTGGGATAGTTTTAGCACTCACCCATGGATCGCCAGTCACTGCTATCCTTCTGTGGTACTATATAAAGTGGGATGCCCATGAACCATTTAACAGTCACACATTGCCAAGATATGGGGTATGGTCAGACCCATTTTCGGCTGACACTGGGTTTCCATGATCCTGTCATCAACCCTAGGAGGCCAAATGTAGTTTTGTGTATAATAGTGCTGGTTTTATACAGGTTACTATTCATGGAGTTATATAGCTCCGGGTATTCCTTAACAGTCGGCTGAAAGGTCGGATCAACTACTGTTTTCCTGCTGACCGGGGACAGGCCTTGTAAGTGTTCCCCTTAATAGGTAGTCTACCAGTAGCCTCCGCAGATGTTCACGAGTACGTCATGGTAACCAAACAGACACATGTCCATGATAGGCATGATCATATCAGCAAGGGGAAAAATCTGCGAAACATGTTTCCAGGAATGCACTTTCAGAAACAGTTGTCTTCACCCAAAGGTGGAAGTGGGTTTTTATTTGCATACTGCAGGTGAAAGATGGATTTCCCCCAGAGATCTCCCTCTGCTACAAGGACAACGTTAACTTCAACTCAAAGAGGTAGCAAGTTTTGAAGTTTCTAATACACCCCACACACTTCACTTTTATGTCATTTAGAGTAAAAGTAAAGATAAATATCAATAAGTGAAATGATAACATTTACTTAATCTCATATCTGTGTCAAAGTTATCAGAAATGAGGTAAACAAGTGATCACGAAGGCCCTTAGTTTGTACCCACAAGAAAAGAGAAACCTCAGAATAATCAGTTGGCTCACAATATTTTATATTATGGATAGGCATTACATTGGATATTGGACTGCCCGGAGGAGGCTACAGGAAGATCTAGACCTTCTGGAAGACTGAGCGGTGGCCAGTGGCATGAATTTCAACCTGAAAAAGTGCAAAGTACTGAAATTACGCACCTGTAGACTGCAGAATGCAAGTTACACCCTGTGCAATGAAAGCTTGTCCTACACAACGTCGGCACGCAACTCAGGTCTAGTTCAAGAGGCGATCACAAAGAAATCGAATTGGTTTATACTAGCTCGTAAAAACGATATTGGATATTGGACTCTCAGGTGGATTATTTGAAATTTGTCGTTGCGTGCTGTTAACCTCGGAAATGGCAGAGCATTCGATTGATGAGGGTGACTGGGATGATGATGTTAAAAATAAATACAAACCACCGGAAAAACGTACTTTGGATGAGTTGAAGAGTTTGGATAAGGAAGATGAAAGCTTGCAGAGGTATAAACAAGCCCTTCTAGGTGCTGCCGTTTCAACCATCAATGCTCCATGTATGTTTGTCTTTATCTGCTTATTGCCAAACAGTTCCAGATAATCCTTCAAATGTTGTCGTTGAAAAGTTTTGCATACTCGTTGAAGGACAACCTGATATTGAATTCAACTTACGAGGCAAGTATAAATACCGTCTGACTATTTTTCCCCTCAAATTTGTCATTTGATATAGAGAAGCTCTTGGTTTCCTTCAAAATCATTTCTTCATTTTCTTATTTTGGTGCATTTGTTTTGGAAAGGGCCCTAGAATTCAATTTCTTACCCCATTGACATACTCTCGAATGTTTCCCTACAAATGAAGTAGTAATTCTCACTTAATCCGATTTCCACACTCATATCTCTATTTCTATGAGGAATATATGAGTAAAGTTCATTTGATGCGTCACTGTTAGGCTCCCTCTAGGCAGTAAAACTAGGGACATCCAAATATAATCTTAATGCGTTATTCGGGTACGTTTAGCCCTATGAATCCTAAGCGTATTGTCAGTAGTAATTCCCGGGTACACAAGGACAGACGAGTACTGTTGGAAATATGTCCTGTTGATGAACAGCTACATAGGATGGTTTCTAGAATTAAAAACTGTCGGAAAGCAGTCCAGTTTCATTGAGATGTACGCTGGACTTAAGGTGACCGCAAGTCACAATATGCCTTGCTTGAGAAGCCACACTGACACTACTAAGCTCACCATCCATCTAGCCTGTCTCGTGTACAAAACTGAAGGTCTACTTCGGTGATATCGCAAACGAAGCTAACAAATTCTTTCTGAAGGCAAGCTAACTTACATTCGTGCCCTGGCGTAATGTTACTAGGAGTTTATTATAGCCTTTACCTGTTTTCCACAGATTTTGTGGCGTCTGCTATGCGGTATCCTAGATGCATGTGACCAGGTTCCCCACATATTCAACTAATCTATTACTGCATTTAGACTTCTCACGGGTCTCTTTGGAAGGTTCGGCGTCTTGTAACTCGTAAAGTAATAATGTCTTGGATCTTCACTTTCCAGAAAATTCACTCATCTTTTCAGGTTCTGCAACCAGCTCACAAGCGTGCAGACTATGTATCGAATAGATTTTCACTGTGCTTCTGTGATGTAGTACATTATTCTTCCAAGTGTCTACTGGGACTTCCATTTTGCATAGCATACCCTTTTAGATAAAGATCAAATGTATTGACTCTTCATGTTCACGTTCTGAAGAGTTCCAAGGTTGTTTGACTGTTAGCTTCACCTATAACTAAACTACCATGAATTTTGCACCTCAGAAGAATTTTTCTCACTTAAGCTGTTGTAACTTGTAGCAACATCAACTAACGCCTTTTTGTACTACGGTTTCCATGGATCTCTTTGTCGATTAAACTTCCAATTTTGTTTTTCTTCTGAGTTTGATTATCTTCGAACAGGTGATACATGAAAGACTTGATCATAAAGTTACACTAAACATAACTCTAGTAAATCTCAGCTCAGAACAGAAAGAAAACACTAGAAAATTTACGACTACAAATATTACCACCATGTGAATTAGTGTCTAGGATTTGTAATAGAATGAATGTCACTCAGTAAAAATGAGTGTTTAGCTGTTAATTAATTAATTAATACACTCCTCCAGTGTGAAGTTCCTTCATTGATTTGTACTGTACGTGGTGTAACTTTGATGTCCTCCACTAATCACATATAAGAAGGTGAAACCTTTCTCAAAGTAATGCAGTTACAGTTGTTACACTTCACAAAAATGTACACAACTGACTTAGCTTTCCAACTTAAAATTCACCACAAAAGTGCAGCAGTTCTAGTCACAACATCCCATTTGACATGCAAAGTTGGCGAAAAATAAATCCAAATGAATTATAATGAACAGATAAAAATGCAAGAGAAAATAGGCACATGGAGAATAATGAGAATTTGATAAGCCTGAGGGCTCATAATGAGTAAATGCATCCGTGACATTGAGTGATTTCGAGCTATGTCACCAACAGTCTTCAGGTCTATTGACTCATAGCGTATTAATGACCTGAGCCAGGTGGTCTTAGTCTCCCTATGGTATTCAAACCTGTATGAATTGACTGCATGTTTTAATTTGACTTCTTACTCTTGGCACCTAATCCTATAATAGCAAACTGCTAGACCAGGAAAACGATGGCTGGTCCTGCGTATCATATGTCGCAGCCATTTCCATGGATGCAGCCTCACAGGAACATCGATAGATTTTCCCTCTACCTGATACTACACTTCCCCTCATTATTACCCACTATACTATATCACTTAACGAGAAACAGAACACAGATATCTATGGTCAGAAGCAGCTAGTCTCCTCAAGTCTGCCACTCTAAGCGGTTGTCTTACGGCCTTAAAATGTTGGAACGAACTGCTGTGTAGTGCACTCATCCTTCGCAATGTAAACAACGGTAAAAAAGAAATGACTGGAGCAAGCAACTAGCTCACTTTATTACACCTCAAGTGAAAGTGTGTGCAAGGAGAAATAAAGAAACAGAATGTTATGTAATTAGTCATAGAACCTCCACAAGTCAGATGTGGTCAGGGCTCAGCATTACGATTTCGACGTAGGTCAATGCATATCTACCATTAGTCAACTTCCAGCAGTAGCTCATAGATTGTGTAATTTTTAGACTTTTATTCCTCATGTGGCGTGTAACTACTAAGCTTGCTGATATTTCCTAAAATAACGAAGATCATTAATCACTGGCTTCAACTCAAGTCTAAGTCAGATCAATCATATCTCCTAACAAAGATGGCTGAGGTAGACAGTAACTCGATGCTCATTACCTAAGTCGTACATTAGGTAAAGGTGTTATGCCTCTCACTACTACCTGCATTCTCGAGGGTTCACTCCTTTTTGATTCTACCTTTGAAGTGGAAAACCAGGTTATCATTGCTGCTTCGCATCGTTGCTCTTTCATAACTTACATATGATTAAATTTTTATTTATCATTTATTTTACGTACCTGCATTTCAGGCGACCTCTCCTCTCTTAAATCCAAGCCAGTTCAAATTGTGGAAGGCTCCAGTTATCGCATCCAAGTGATATATTATGTGCAGCGTGATATTGTCTGCGGGCTTCGTTTCAAACAGTGGACAAATAGAGGTCCTCTTCGAGGTAAGAGATGTTTCTTTCGAATTCCCATGAAGAATACCTTTTATGTATTTGTGTTACCAAACAACGATCTTCTCTGTTCATGTATTGATTTCTGTCCAAGTTAACGATTTTCGAAGGTGATTAGCCTTATTATCTTACCTGCTTACCAGTTTGGCGGAGTTAACAGAAAGACGATTCTTTTATTCCTTTACGTTCCCAGTGGAACATAGAGCTTCAAGATAGAGGCTTGAAGTTCCGGTATCAATGGTGTTTATTTTTACGCAATAGGGTTGCTAACCCCACACCCATAGCTTCCTCCTTACCAGTCTTATTACTGGCCTAGCGAGGTAAAGGAGTGCTTCGGGAGGAGATCGGACCCTTGACTACATGCGCAGTCGGCGAGCATTCTATCGCTGTGCCACCGACACACCAGAAAGAGGATTAAGAGACAAGAAATGTTGTTTTACTATTTCAATCCTTTTTCCCAATGAAATAAATTTAAAGAGACTCTGTGAACAACAGACTTGGCAATGAAGAAAACAGGCTTGTAACTTTTGAGAAAAGGCGAAGTGTAGTGAGGTTAGGTGGTTAATACATGAATTCGTCTGTGCTGTTGAAGTTGTATAGGCATTTGAAACTCTCCGACTGAAAGCAGCACTGTTATTTATCTCTTCCTGGGGGTGCCCTGCTTCACTCTGACAGTATCCGGAAAGTACCTTATCTCTCGAAAAAACTGTGCATATTTGTGTAGCGTGCTTCTTCTTTGGGTGCCCATATTGTACCAAGTGAGAATAATAATCACGGGGTACCTGATAGAAGAGATAAACTTACTTAATAGCGTGATGGCAACTTAAAACACCACATTGTAATGCTGGGCTCTTTTTCTACCTTTCTGATTCTTAAGAAGAGGTTTTTAATTTATGGTAGGTATTACAGAAACACATGACAAACAAAAGGCTGTAATGATAATCATGACATTCAGCTGTGTGGTCACACACAAAAAAAGTGGTGAAATCAAGTAATAATGCCTAAATACATTTAACCTCTTTCCATTCATTAAAATATTTAAAGCTCACCTGGTTAGTGGTAATTTTACATTCGATATGTTGGTGGAAGCATAGTTGTTGTGTAATGCTAAGTGGCATTCTAAACGTAAACATAAAACCATGGTGCTTTGAATAGAAAATAAAGTGGAGTTATCGAACTGAGGGAAATATATCACCTAACTAACGAACTCATCTTTTGCCTATATCAAAAACACAAAGAAGGCTTGACAGTAAATACACTTCTATGGTAGTTGAACAGCTATGGTATCATCTACCTATCTTAATCTCCGTGATCGAATTAGTGTTGATTATGTAGGTAAATTTAAGGATTAGCCTTTGATGATTTGATCATTATACATAATGTTGAAGGTATCTAGTGGACCAATATTATGAAAAAAATATTTCTGCCTGAATGAAATTAGACCACTTCACTTATTCGGGGAGTTGCATCAGCCAATGCCAGTGGGGGCTAGTCTGCCGTATGCCAACCTACACCACCATTTCTGGCGTAGACATGACATCCACCAGCTGTCGACCAAAAGACGTGTGTACTGCTCAGCAGTCATCTCCGTCCTCGTTTATGGCTGGCTGTGAGATATGGCCATTGAAAGTGGAAGACATGAAAAGACCAGCAAGCTGTCTTTGATCATAGGTGTCTGCATTCTGTCTCCCGCGTTAGGTGGTGGTTTAATGGGGTGAGCAATATTGAGGTTAGGCATTGGTCGAGTGCTAGGTATGGAGGGGAAACCAATCGATGGGGATGTGAAGCAGTTATTTCTGTTGCGATGGTTAGAACATGTTTTTCGCATGCATTCCTGGCTATCGCCTTCCTCAACGACTGTTGATGTTAGCTTGCCGCTATAGGATAGATCACGTAGGAAAGAAGCTAGCGGTGGTGGTGGTCAAACCAAAACATGGCTTCATCAGTCAGTGGAATCCACAATAGTTAGTTTAAGCCAGCCAGCCAACCACGTAGGAAAGTGTAAACTTCCTGGTTAAGGTCCTTGAGATGATAGAAGCCAATGAAGGCTGGAGACAATTGGTGAAATGGCTGAAAATCTCTCCTTTAAATCTCTCTGTACTCTTCTCTTGCTTTGTGTGCTACATGGAGAGAGTGTAGCAACTTAAACTGCTGTACATATGTGAAAAGTTCTACGTTGAAATTAGTCAGTCAGTCATCAGTTTGTTATCAAACCGTATATATATATATATATATATATATATATATATATGTATATTGCATTGGATGAAGTCACACAGAAAGCATATAGTTTCTGTCAGTGGAACATTGGTGAACAGAGAGACGACGTCTAGGGAGACCATCTTTTTATTTGCGAGGTTGACATTTTCAATTGAATCCACGAAATCGAATGTGTCGCCGAGGTTGTATCTCGACAACTTTTCTTTCACTGGTCCAAGAATTTCTACCAGCCACTTCGCGATTAGGTGATATGGCGAATTGATCATACCTAATATTGGGCGGAGTGGGACGTCCTTTTTGTGCACTTTGGGTAGTCCATACATTCATGGCGATGTAGAACCAGATGGGCGAAGTTTCTCATATAGTTCTGTGAAGAAACTCGTCAATTCTATCTGGTGACAGCAAATTTCAAAAACAGACGATCCAAAAAGATCCAACTGAACAGACGGAGTTCCAGCTAACCAACTTATTGAAAAAAATGAAAGATGAGTTGATTATCAATACAGAACTATATGAGAAACTTCGCCCATCTGGTTCTACATCGCCATGAATGTATGGACTACCCAAAGTGCACAAAAAGGACGTCCCACTCCGCCCAATATTAGGCCATTGAGAGCAGAAGACATGAAAAGATTAGCTGTCTTCGATCATAGGTGTCTGCGCTCTATCTCCCGCGTGAAGTGGTATAATAAGGTGAGCAATATTGAGGTTAGGCGTCGAGTGCTAGGTAAAGCGGGGAAATCAATCGATGAGGCTGTGAAATTACATCGACTGAGATGGTTGGGACATGTGTTACGTATGCCTAGTCATCGCCTTCCTCGACGGGCAATGTTAGCTGACATAGGGCCAGGCTGGAAAAGAGCTAGCGGCGGTCAAACCAAAACATGGCACCAATCAATGAAATCCACAACAGTTAGTCTAAGTCACGTAGGGAGATGTAGACTTCCTGGTTGGGGTCCTCGGGATGGTAAAAACAAATGGTTGGAAACAATTGGTGACATGGCTCAAAATCGTTCTCAGTGGCGCAGATGCATCCACTCCTTGTGACTTATGATTTCCGATGAAACTGTTTTGTTCTTCGCTATTACTACTCCTTTGTCTCACACCTGTGTTTACTGTCTATGTTATGCATTTCTTCTAATTCCTTCTCTTGCTTTGCGTGCTACATAGATTGTGGCGACTTGAACTGCCGCACATATGTGCAAAGTTCTATGTCGAAAACAGACAGAGACAGACAGATGATCAATTCGCCATATCACCTAATCGCGAAGTGGCTGGTAGAAATTCTTGGACCGGTGAAAGAAAAGTTGTCGAGATACAACCTCGGCGACACATTCGATTTCGTGGATTCAATTGAAAATGTCAACCTCGCAAATAAAAAGATGGTCTCCCTAGATGTCGTCTCTCTGTTCACCAATATATATATATATATATATATATATATATATATATATTAACATACTATCCGGATGCCCAGACTGAATCAGGTGATTGTCGCTTAAGGGACATTCCCTGAGTCTTTGGCTTGGAGTCTAGTCCACAAGGTAGTGGAGCAGCATGACGACCTGCGTTCCTACGGTTTCCGGTGATCAAAACAGGATCATATACCATTTAGTCCTTTCAGATTTCAGAGTTCATTTACTCCATAGGTTTGGTGGAATCAGAGTTTTTCAGCTCCA